AGAGACCCATCAGACCCTAACACTACCTAGGTGGATGTGAGTATCTCTATAGTTAATACTGGTTCATGGATATATCTAGGAGTTGTATATGCTGTGACATTCACAACTTTGTTGGTAACATTAATAAAATTGATAACAGATAGTGGACCTTGTTCTTGTGATTGTATGTGTTACTTGCCTATGGTTTCATGTGTCCCTATGAGCTCTACATCTAAAATAAGCAGAGGTAACTCTGTTCAACCTGAAACTGTAGCCGCCAGAGACAAACCCTCAATGATGTAACATAACATAATTAAAACTAACTTTAAATAAAAATAAAGGCTACACCAAGAACCTTAGAAAGGCCTCCACAGGGTCTGGAAGAGATGTGAGGAGTTGGTGCCTCAGAGGTGGCTGTTCTCCCACTTCTGCACAGTAGTGGAGAGACCCACACATGGAGGATCTTGTAGTGTGCAGATCTGGAGAGGGATAAGTTATGCAGTTAAATAAAAATTACATCTATTCATTTTTGTTGGGTTTAAATATAGTAGGAAATATTTGCTGAAACCATTTAGAAACTTTTATACTGTATTAGCAAATCATGTCTCATTCAGTCTGCCAGGTTTGACATAACACAGTCAGTTATGTTGTATAATGTGACATGCTGACATAATTGGAGCTGTCATGTCATCCTAATGATAGGCCATATGAGAAAAATGGGGAAAAAAAGACATGACTCAAAATATCATAGCTAAGATGATGATGGATTTCAGTGAAAAATATGCTCTTGCTAATTAAAATAATTTGAAAACTATAATATATGTACATATATGTAAGTGTGTATGGGTAATATACCCATATATAGAATTATAATAATTTACATTTTTATACTGTTATGGAAAAGCCCTATAGAATTTAATAGGGATGAAACCAATAGGAGTCTATAGAAATTTAATAGCATTATATAGAAATTGCTCTAACATTCTATAGCATTAAATAGCTAATAATATTCTTTTTAAGGGACTTTTTAAAACCTTCTTAAAAGAAAATTCTATCAGATGCTTAAAATATATATAAATATTATCATGTAATTACATTCTAGAGGATAGCTCCATAAGACTGGTGTCATTTGGTTTGAAAGACTCCAAAGGAATGAGTGTTATATTTATTACCTGTAGATTTACCCACATACAGCAGAGTTGTAGTACTATTCCCCATTGAGAACATGCATACAGTCACAGTAAATGCTTGGGCATTTTTAGAGGACATCTGTTACTGTTACTTTGTGATGGCTATTACTATTATACTGCAGCAATGCAGTGTTGTAGCCATGCTGGTGCTAGGATATTAGAGAGACAATGTGAAGAAAAAGAGGAGCTCTGTGTAGCTCGTAAGCTTGTCTCTCTCACCAACAGAAGCTGGTCCAATAAACGATATTACCTCATCTACCTTGTGTCTCTAATGCCAGTTAAAATGAACACAAATTATGCAAAAGTATTTTGTCCAAATTTTAGTATTTTACTAAAAGCATCTAAAATCTTGTATTCCAGAGCTCTAACCTTGCAGAATGCTATCATTCTAGAATGCTATGAAAAGTAAAAAAGTGCTTTTTTTCCGTGTCACAACAGCTGAGCACTGTCAACTCCCATTACCTTCAATGGGAGTTGAGGGCTCTCAGCACCTTGTAGGTCTGGGCCCCAAATGAAGATCTCTGTAATTTCCAACTGTTAACCATGGACACAGTTGTGTAGGCCATGCCCAGGAGAAATTCCTTACTCAGTAAGGGCTGAATGATTGGGTCCCCTGGGATCAACTTTTCTGACTATTTCTATATGATCACATAAGATTTGCCAGAGGTAATTTGACACATATCTAGACTTTGTCATACATCCATTTATAACAGATACTTTTTCTTTGTGAGTTCCCTTTCTTTTGAATTAAAAATAAGACTGGAAAGTGTAACCCAGCTGGGTATTTCTTTAGTAAATAAGGAGTCTTCACTAATTTAATTTATTAAACATCTTACAACATAATGGAGGAATATACCCACTTTTTCCTTCTCAAACTGATATTGTAAAGAAGCAAACAAGATTATACAAAGCCGTTAAAAACAAGAACTCATGACATTTAAAATGTATGCACAGATTTCCCAAGAGAAAATAAAAACACATTCAGGAGGAACTCACTTCTAAAGATGAAGTGACACAGAGTTTTATCTAAATGAAGTAAAATCCATGTAGGGGAAATAATACAGCTGCCAGTTACTTATCAACAGAAATTCAAGGTTGGAGAACACAGGATGAGAAGGAGAGCTACCAAAATACCAGCTATTGACCTAGGTCATCCCCTCCTGTGGTAAAACCTGCAGCAGGGCGTTGTAGATAGGAAATCTCTCCTTGCAAAGATCTGTTCACAACATCCTCTCAGGGGTTGGTCATGTGGCTATTCCATAATACATTTAATTTTTCCAAGGGCCTTTCTTTTAAATGATTTTAGATTTATTAGAGCCATCTAATATGCTAGTCTATACTTTTATAGAGAAACAAGAAAAGTATATATATTGGATTGATGCTTATTTTTTAATATGTACAATATGTTTTTTAACATATAAATGAAGTACCATGAGGTTAGCCAGGCTAGAAATGTGTGAACAAATTATTTTTGGTTTACCAGCAGTTCTGAAAAATCAACAACAGGTCAGGTCAAACTGAATCCCAAATATTTTGGAATTAATTGAAAACATTAGAAAAGTTTCATTTCAGCTCAAATGAAATGTTTTGTTTCACAAAAAATATTTTGTGTCAGGTTTTTTAATAAAAGCAAAGGAAATAAAGGGCTAGATTCATAAAACGAGAGGAGGTGGTAATGCCCCTTCGTTCCCCCCGACCTTTGTACCAAATAGCCCAATGGTTAGGACACTCACCTGGGATGCAAGACACCCAGGCACGAGTCCCTGCTCCAGGGCAGGAATCTGAACCTGGATCTCCTGCAGGCAAAGGAAATGAAGGATTAGATTCACAAAACTGGTCTGGAGTTAGGGACTTGTACCCAAGTCTCCCTGCTATCTGAGTGCCTTAACCACCAGGAGATTGGCTATTCTGAAGTGGGCTGCTCTCAGTCTCTCCTGCCAAAGCAGTTCCACTTCACATAAAGTACTTCAATCATCATTGAATTGGCACAAGAATAATTCTATTGCCTGGTGGCTAAGACATGCACCTGGGAGTGGGGAGACCTATGTTGAAGTCCCAGGTCCAGAGCAGGGATTCAAAGCATCTCAGGTGAGCACCCTAACCACTTGCCTATTGGGTATGAGACTGGCATCATCACCAGTGGTTTTGTGAATGTTTCCCTAGTCTTCTCATAAATCTAGCCCAAATAATCAAAATGGTTCATTTTGATAATGTAAAAATGGTTCATTTTGATACCAGCAGAAAAACAAAATGTTCAGGCCAAAAGCGTTCACCAGAATCAACCCAAATTTGCTAAATGTTTTGGTCAACCCAAATCTGCCTTCTTTGGTAACAAAAAAAGATTAATCCAAAAAAATGTGCCCAACTCTAATACCAGCTTTCCTGCAATGCAGATACCCAGCTTGAATTCACCTGAAATCGGATCCTCTCTTTCCTATTTACTTTAAAATATGGTAAACAATGCAATAGTCTTGAAGGAATATGCTATTATAGGAGAGAATAAAATTTATCATTTGGAAAAACAGAGTCTATTAATGTTGTTTTCTTTTTCAGAAGAACTTCATTTCACAGATTCTCAGCAGCTCTCAGAGCACTTGATCAGTTCAAAAACAGGCAAAGTTAATTAATGATTTCAATTTCAAAGCACCTTTGATTAACTGAAGCCAGTACATAGGGAGGCAAACTACTTTTCATTAATGATTCTTTTTATCGTTTCTATTATAAAATGCCTCTAATTGACAGCACATATTTTCAAAACAGCCTGTATTATTAGATTAGAAAACTGACGCTGTTCACATCTGGGTACATGAGCAAAAATAATTAAATTTAATAATAATGAATAAAAAAAACCTTACAGTAATTCATCATGCTACTACTGTAGCATGAGCAGTAAAGTCTGAGTGGGTGCCAAATTAAAAAATGAATCCATAAAAATATGCCAATTACTATAACTGTAATAAAATTCCAATCCCTGTACAAGTGAATGTGAACCATAATAATCATTCTGAATCTCAGTGGGGCCTTTGGAATTTGCATTTCAAAATTGCCCTCAAACATACAATAGACAAGAGTCGTGCTGTACATTAGCGTTAGAGATCATATACAGCACAACAAGCCAAGTAAAATAGAGGCCCCGACTGATTTAAAACAAATCTACATGATGCTGCAACTTAGGCCCTGTCTACTCTACGGGGGAAGATCGATCTAAGTTATCCAACTTCAGCTACATGAATAACATAGCTGAAGTCGACGTACTTAGATCTACTTATCGTGGGGTCCATACTACGCGATGTCGACAGGAAATGCTTTCCCGTTGACTCCCCTTGCGCCTCTCGTTCAGGTGGAGTACAGGCATCGACGGGAGAGCGATCAGCGGTCGACCCGCTAAATAGATTGCCGATGCATCGATCGCCGCATGTTGAACCCCCGGTAAGTGTAGACAAGTCCTTCGTGTTCCTACATTTATTGTGCTGTTTCCTAAATTGAATCAATGATCTCAATATACTTTGCAAATTTTTCCTGAAATCATTATTTGTATACTGAAAGCTTCTGAAGGCACATACATATGATTCTGATTATTTAAGCATACTGCATTCTTCTCAGTTTTGTATAAAGTGTCATTTGTCAAGCTTAGGAAATAGGGTTAAGATTAAATAGAGAACTCTGTATGTTTAGAAGTTTTTAAAGTGTCCTCTTACACGTATCGTACTGCAAACTAACTTCCCTTTCAGCAGTTAAGAATCGATTGTTACTTGTTACAGCTAAGAAAAGTATTGTATAAATGTCGTTTAAGCAATGCAGATGCATTCATCAATGTGAGGATCGTCTTACCTTGTTCCATATGAAAGAGGATAAGCCTTGCAAGGGTGACTTTCATGATGGACTCTCCATGACCAGTTGCAGAGACAGCACCAACAAGGTTGTCAGCATAGCCACCTGAACCTGTTTACAAACAGCATGTAAATTATATGAACCAGTTTAATCTGCTTGGCAATTGCGGCACAAATGTTTGTAAACAAAGCAAATTTACTCTCAGCCATTGTCACAAGAAAAGCTTTGAAATACTTTACATTTATTATTTTGCACTGCACAGCCCATAAAATAAAATAGGAACCTACCATCTGAGGCCTACAAACCCTGAAGCAAGCAGACACTTTTGATGGCCAGGTTTCCCACAGCCACTGTACTTCAATGTGACTCCTTACTTTGGTAAGGACTACTCAGATGAGTTGGGGTTTGAAGGAGTGGGTCCTAAGAGCTGTTAACATTGCAGGAACATCCAAAACAAAATATAAATCTCTTTCAGGGCAACTAGTTCTTTAATGTAAGTGAATTATTCAAATGTGAATTTCACAAGACCCTTCTGACCTCCATTTATCTCTCCAACCCTCCCCCACCCCAACCATTTTGGCTGATACTTGACTCTATTCCTTGGGCACTGGTAAGTGAGATAATTTCTCTCACTAATTCCCCATCAGTGTGCACAGTTTGAAAAAGGATAGCAATTACATTTCATGCACATTTCATTCTCAGAACCTATCTGCAGAAGAACATTACAGAAGTAATTAATGTGCTTTGTTGTGGGAGGAGTCAAAGGAAAATGTTCCTCCAGCATCCAAATGTAGTCACAGCTCATTCCATTATTTGGGAGCTCATTGATAAACCTTTCCTACATGTCTGTAGCCAACCATGGACTGCACTGTCAGTGAATTTCAGAAGTGAATTTCACCCTACATGAATAGTGCTTCTCTTTTTCACCATCATGGACAGCAGAAGCCTTGACATCTTTCCTGAATCTGTTCCCTTTCCTCCCCATCCCCTTGCAAAAAAAATGTATCTCAGCATTCTACTGGCACACCAGTGAGGCAGTCTAGAAATAATGTATGTATTTTTCCCTAAAACAAAAGTTTTCTGCAAACATTTTGCTTCCCTCAGCAGTATGAAAATAGATAGTATGAATGTGTTTTCTGAATATATCATGTAAAGAGAAAAAAGACTTGCATAGGCAACACTGCCACAAGACTCATAAAGTAAATGACTTTTATTGTATGAATGGAAGTCTAATCAATGGGACAAATTTATCAGCAGGCCTCACATATACACTCACAAAATTTGCAAGTGCATCCTTTTGCATTCACTAAGACTTGCATTTGTGTGTCTAATGTATGCATATGCAAATTGAATTCAAGCTGAGCAGATATATGCAATGTATCTGGATGTAGGTGGAAAATCTATGGGCACATATAGGGAGGCTGGTTGAAAATATGGACTTAAATATTCATTTAATAATTAAAACTATTAAAGAATTTTCATTTAAGGTAAAGGTAATATTAAATTGAAGAGCTTTTCCAACTTACAAGATATATATTTTTAAAAAGCTAAGTTTGTTTCCCCTTGCTTTAAGAAAATCATTATTATCTAGAAGTGAATATAAAAGTCCATTGTCAATGTGTTAATTACAGTATCAGAATAGCCCCTGGATATCAGACTATGCTGATGGCCATGAGATTTCTGGAATACAAATACAAGGCATATCAACTCATTTCATTACTCATTTATATGGAGCTATCTAGTGCTGCTAGCCACTGGAAGTGTTTATGATTTTTCATAATTTATGTAAATCCCCAACTATGATTTTTCCATGTATTATAGATGCAAAATATTTCTTTTCTTTCAAGTAGTCAAAAGGAGTTCTTATTTCCCAATAAAATGTTATTTTAGCTGCTTGATGGCTTATATGGAATGACATGGTGATATCAGTCCAGTTCCTTGCAGACAGATATTCACATCAAAATGTCACCATAATAGACCATGTTTTTGCAAATGCTTTTGCACATTCTTAGTATTAGATATATAATTATTACTATTGAAGTCAATAGAACACATGTGAGTAAAGTCAGGCCATATGTAAGTGTTTGAAGGACCAGGGATGTAGTTAGTAACCTTGTTGCCAGTATCAATAGCAAGTCCAAAAACAGAATGAGCATGCAGACTGAGGTCTTATCTCTTACTGGGTGGCCCCTGAGACAGGGTGGAAAGACTTTGGCAAGGAAGTCTGGAGAAACTTGCAGTGAGACTGCCTGTGCTGTATTTCATCTGCAGTTAAATAGAGTACACTGAGTCTCCAGGGCAGTCAAACTGGCACCTTTCTTAAGCAATATATTCACTCCATTCACTCAAAAATATTACAAAAGACTCAGAAGAACATGAATTCTGCACTCTTGGAAAGGATGGATTTTCTGTGATGAGCAGCTTTTTGTAATACCAGGTGCAATGCTAGTCAAGGGACCTGATGAGAAGATGATTGTGTGAGTGACTGTAAACTGCAAAATGGTGATGCGCTCTTGACAAGAAAAATGTGAACAGTAATACATGTCAGAGAAAGCCCTCGAAGCCTATGACCAAAAGCTGCAGAGTCTCAGGAGATGTAGGTGAATTGACTGGGAAGGAAAAACTTGACTTTCTTAATCATGGCACCATTTTGACACTAGTTCAGAAAACAAAAGTATCTTAGTAAATGTCTCAATATGCAAAAACAGGGACACTCCCAAACTGTAGGACTTTGGCAGAGAATGGACATAAAAGGGCTCATAAATGCTAGATACACAGGTCATGAGAGCATGATGAGAGCTGGACAGCTGAGCATCAATCATTATGCTGAAGACCAGAATCTAGGTCAAATCCCATTACCTATAGTGGGTAAGAACACAGTGAATGGCTTTGTAAAACCTTTACTTCGCTAGAATTTATGGATAAGTAGACAAAAGTGTTCTGCTTTGTATAAGGAGCTTAGTTTAAGGCTACATCTATACTATGATCTAGGAGTGTGATTCCCCTGCTCCATACACATACGTGTGGTAGCTCTCATTGAGCTAGCATGAGTATAAATAGCAGTGTAGCTATGGTAGCACAGATTGGAGAAAGTCCAGAGAAGAGCAACAAAAATGACGAAAGGTCTAAAAAACATGACCTACGAGGAAAGATTGAAAAAATTGGGTTTGTTTAGTCTAGAGAAGAGAAGACTTCTGTGGTCGTGATAGTCTTCAAGTACACAAAATGTTGTTATAAAGAGGAGGGTAATAAATTGTTCTGCTTAACCCCTGAGGACAGCACAAGAAGTAATGGGCTTAAATTGCAGCAAGGGAGATTTATGTGAGACATTAGGAAAAACTAATCCTAACTGTAAGGATAGTTAAGCACTGGCATAAATTACCTCAAGAGGCTGTGGAATCTGTGTCATGGTCTAAGACAAACACCAGTCAAGGATGGTCTTGATAGTACTTAGTCCTGCCTCAATGCAGACGACTGGACTAGATGACCTATCGAGGTTCCTTCTAGTCCTACATTTCTATGATTCTATAGCAGCAACAGAGGCATAGCTTAGCTGTACTGAGTATGTACTCATCAGTGTCATGCATGTTTGCGTTTCGCATGGCGAAGGCATGCATCTGCTGCCACCACCGATGCTACCCTGGCTACACTGCTATTTATTTTCATGCTACCTCAATGATAGCTACCATGACTATATGTTTGCATAGGCGCCGACTCCATGGGTGATCCGGGGCTGGAGCACCCACAGAAAAAAAAAATAGTGGGTGCTCAGTACCACCGGCAACCCTGCGGATAAGCACCTCCCTTTCCCCCACAGCACCTTCCACCCGCTGTCGGCCCCGCCGATCAGCTCTTCCCCCTCCCTCCCAGCACCTCCTGCCCACTGCAATCAGCTGTTCAGTGGTGGGCAGGAGGTGCTAGGCATGGGTGCCAGGTTTATATAATTTTTGGTTGGGCCCAGAACGGAACCATCCCATCCATAGGACGGACTGGGGAAACCACCCCGGGCCCCGGGCTTTGGGGGGGGCCCACACTTCAGGGGGACACAGGGTCCAGGGCAGCCCGAGGGGTTAGTGGGAGGCCTGGTGCAGGCAGCAGCAAGCGACCCGGCCGCAGCCCACCCCTGCTTTGCCCCCTTCCCAGCCCCATTCCACCCCTTCGCCCAAGCGCCCCAGGCCGCCCTGGACCCTGCATCCTCCTCAAGTGCGGGGCCCCCAAAAGCGCAGTAAGCCCAAATATCGGTGGAGCCGGGCCCACATTCCTAAATATTGGTGGAGCACGGGTACCACAGGCCCATATAACTCGCTGCCTATGGTGCTGGGGGGCAGGGGGAGGAGCAGGGGCAGGAAGAGGCAGGGGAGGGGTGGAATGGGATGGGGAGGGTGGGGTGGGGACGGGAAGAGGCAGGGCAATGGCGGGAGTGGGAGTTGGGGGAAGGAGTGGAGTGGGGGCAGGGCCTGGGGTGGAACAGGGATCGAGCACCCTCTGGGAACTGAAGAAGTCAGTGCCAATGTGCTTCACCACCCTCCTAGTGAAATAGTTTTTTCTAATATCCAGCCTAGACCTCCCCCACTGCAACTTGAGACCATTGCTCCTTGTTCTGTCATCTGCCACCACTGAGAACAACCTAGCTCCATCCTCTTTGGAACCCCCCGTCAGGTAGTTGAAGGCTGCTATCAAATCCCCCCTCACTCTTCTCTTCTGCAGACTAAATAAGCCCAGTTCCCTCAGCCTCTCCTCATGTGCCCCAGCCTCATAATCATTTTTGTTGTCCTCCACTGGACTCTCTCCAATTTGTCCACATCCTTTCTGTAGTGGGGGGCCCAAAACTGGATGCAATACTCCAGATGTGGCCTCACCAGTCCCGAATGGAGGGGAATAATCACTTCCTTCGATCTGCTGGTGACGCTCCTACTAATACAGCCCAATATGCCATTAGCCTTCTTGGCAACAAGGGCACACTGCTGACTCATATCACTGAAATCCCCAGGTCCTTTTTTGCAGAACTGCTGCTTAGCCAGTCGGTCCCCAGCCTGTAGCAATGCCTGGGATTCTTCCATCCTAAATTCAGGACTCTGCACTTGTCCTTGTTGAACCTCATCAGATTTTTT